ACTTGAGACTCCCCCTCATCAATGAGAAACTCAACTTTAAGGAGATTTTGGATTGGATCCAGAGTCAGGAACCACTGTTTGACTTATGACTTTAAAGAAGCGCTTGTTGGAACACAACCCAACTAGTCTGTTTGCATCTCTTTCCTTTGCTTTTTGGTTGAGTCAGTTTTTTTAATATATTTTAGAGTCAATAACTAAATCTTTGTGAGATTTTGTGTGGTTTTTGTGGTTCCACCTACTCTATCTTCCATGGACTGCGCCTCCTGTTCCATCCACCATCCTTCATACTTGATAAGGTAACTTCGTTCAACCCTTCTTATGTTTCATCCATTGAGGACAATGTTGTGATTAAGTGTGGGATGTAGTGTTCCATTATGTACGTGTGTGAATGAATGATGTGAATGTGAGTGCTTGAATTATTAGCTTTCAGAATGGCATGCAACCTAGTGAGGTTAGTGTAGTGCTATGGAGGATGTTGATACTTGAGTAGTTTCCTTTCGAATTCATATTGTGTTGGTTGAATCATGAGAAGTAGTGGTTTTAGTACATGTGATTCGTATGGCATCGATGACTATCTCCCTGCTGTGGACTCAAATTGTTTTGAAAAAGTGCTCTAAAATTGAATGTGATTATGCTTAAAAGTGATTAAACTTGGAGTCACATGATGTGGGAACTGTTCAAAGTGTTTGAGTTTGTAAAGTCTTCAAATGGATTGTCTCTCATACCAGAGTACCCTTGAGGATGTGTAAGGAGATTCAGATTAATCATCCATTTGACATTGTACTACTCTCCAACCTCTTTTACACCTGTCCTCTACATGGACACAATACAGAGTGAAAAGCGTGTGTTCTGCTCGAGTCATGAGAACCTCGCTCCCGAAAAATCTAGGAAGATTGGAGCCTTAATTTCAAAAAGAAAATAAAAAGGTGTTGCAATGAACAATCAAATCGAAAAGAAAGCTCAAAAGTTTTAGCCTTTAAAGAAAGATCACTCGACTTGAGTCCTTGGTTTTAAATCATTATTGGGAGCTCTTTATCCTCAAATTGCTTGTCCTGGGGTTACTTCCCATTATCCCGACTCGAGACTAGAATTCTTGCCAAGGTGGCTAAGAGATGGCTTATCTATCAGTTGACCTCGTAAGTTGCTAAATGACCTAGCAAGTACTCTACTGACAATCGGGGTGGCATATTGCTATGGGTGTCTGATAAGATGCATTGGTTTGAGTCAGGTTTGCTTGGGGACAAGAAAACTGTTAAGTGTGGGGGGATTTGATAACGACTAATTACACATGTTTATTGCCTCACTTCTTGGTCGTTTGAGCATAATTTCTCGCATCCTATTCTTATTACACTAGGTTGTATTCATTTGTCATATTTCAGGTCCTAGAACATAAATTAGGGCTTAGGAACAAATTTTGGGGTAGTTGGAAGATGAACAGGTATTTGGAGGAAGAAGGGAAGAATTACACGGTCTAGAAGAAAATTCCATGATTGTGCTCCTCGATTAGCAACCGTGGAACTAGAACAACGTGTTCCCTCATCTGGACAGGTGAGTTCCATGACTGTGGTTCTCAAAGGAGAGACCGGGGGTTTCCCAAGAAGAATCAATTCAAAATGAAGCATTCTGTAAATTCCCTTGTCTCGACATAGAATTCCCTGGTCTTGGAACTTGCCAGCAGCGAGTATAAAGGCACGTCTTAAGCATTTTTGGGGGGAGGGGGAGCTGGATTTTGGACCACAAACACTAGGGCTGGAAATCCGATTTCATTTATCCGGTCAAACCGGAAACCACCCAGTTTAAACCGTACCTATTTTGACCGGAAACCGGATACAACCCGGTCCGTCCAGATTCTGGTTGCCAGTATTTCAGAAAAATCGTACCAGGTATAGTCCTGTTAAAATTTGTCAAACCCAAAAAACCGGCTCTACCAAATCCAGGCATGTCTTCTGTCCAACCCAATCCTGAAACATTGAAACCCAAAGCCCAACTTGCAAAACCCAACCCAGCCAAAAACCCTCAACCCCCAACTCCATCTCTCTCGCACACAACTACCATAGCCGCCCACACTTCGCCGCTTCCTACCTTCCTCTTCTTCCTCGTTCTCTTCTCTAATATCCCACACTCTGCCGCTTCTCTCTTCTTCCTCTTTTCTTTAAACTCATCGTTCATCCTCTACTCTCATTTCGGTGGCATCTCCCTCTGGCCGACAACCATAGTGGAGACGTTGATGGTGATTCTCACAACGCAAGGGCACTGGTCGATTTTGGAGGCGGCGCGTCGACGACATGCCCATCTCGCGAATCGCGTCTCTCTCACTCCGCCGACCCAACTTTCCAATGTCAGCGCCAAGATACTCCGCTGACAGTGCTTGCTTCCATCGCTGACACTTCATAGCCGTCATTCGTCGCTTCCCCTATGTCACCACTTATGACGGATGAAACTTCCTCATTTGAGGCAAAATCGCCTGATAGATCTAGGTTTGTGAATGATTTGTGCAGATTGGATTGATAGATGGAGATGGAGATGGAAGATGCAAAGGAGACAGAAGAGAGAGGGTGTTTTAATCGATGATGTATAAGGAAGATGGGATTATGTGTGGCCTACCATTTTTTCATTTTAAATTTTTTAATACAAAAATAAACGATGGCGTTTTGGGGAATAGACACCAGTTTCGGTTTCTGGGTTGAAACCGAATCGGACTGGATTTAATCCAGTCCTGTCACGGTTGAAACCGGGTCCCAATCTAATCCAATTTCCGGTTGGTGATATGGACAAAATGATTTTTAAAAGTTGGGTTAGTTCGGTCCAGACACCCTACCAAACACCCAAGGAACGGACCAGAGAGAGGGAGAGCGATTTGAGGGCAATCTTGGAGCAGAATTAGAGGATTTCTTCACCTTGGAAGCTCGAGGACCAATCCATGTTTTGTTATATTGGATAATTATATGAGTACTCTTTCTGTATATTCTTGAGTTCATATTCAATCTATGCTTGATTTCATGATTCAATTCTACTTTAGTCGATATTATTGATTCTGCTTTCATTCTATGAGAGGGAATTCCTAATTAGGCTAATAGAGCACCATGGATTGGAAGTAGGGTATTGATTGTGCGAGAGTGAGTCGATTCATTGATGTGTATCGAGTGAAAACCTCTTTCAATAGAGGGAGTCTAGTGTAGAACGCCTTGATCAGTTGTTATATAGAAGCGTACATCCCTCTAGGCAACTGACTCAATAGGGTTTAGATTGCTTTAATCGAAATTCAAGGTCTAGTCAAGGACTCTCGACAATTTTGAATGAATAGTGAATCAAATTAGAGAATCATTACCTGAATGAGTCCCCATCCTGTAATTAGTAGTCTAGCCTAGTGTAGTTCGTTAGAGTAGTTGTAGCTCTTTAAACCGAACCTGATTTACTACACTACAAAAAAGACTGATAGTTGTGACGAAAACCTACCGACGACACTGTATTTTCGTCACAAAAAAGCATCATTTCCAACGAAATAGATATTTTGTTGGGAAAGAAGTTATTATTTTTGAAAAACCCCGTCGAAAATATAAATTTAGGCAAATTTGAGGAATCGTGAGTCACTATTTGTAATGAAACCTGTTATGGCGTCAAAAATAATTATTATTAGTGACAAGGTTAAAAATGGTGTGAGTAATATATGTTTTATTCGACGCTCCAAAAAAGGTCGTGGGAATAATTGAGTGCTTTTGACGAACTGTCTCCATTGTCAAAAATGTTTCGTCAGAAATGATATTATTTGTGAGGGATGTTTGGTCCATCATAAGAACTCTATATTTTTCAACCATCAATCACTGGTTGTCGGAAAAATTTGGTTGTAGTAAAGTTACATTGCAATTCATCAGAGTAATCTTCATAATTACCACAGTATTTTTTATGAGAAATATACATTTGTGGAAGATAATGTATCAGATATAAGTTTTTATGACCAAACTTTGGTCGTGACAAATAACATGTTAACATTACCAATGTTTTAGTTAGTTGTGACTTTATCTGCCGAAGACAAAATTCGGTTGAAAATAATGTATAAGGTACAAAAAATATTACATATTTGGAGGATTGAACAATGAACCATGAATTTAAAATGATGAGTACACACCAATTGCACTACCTAACTGTTTGTTAACTTTCATGTATATGTTGCTATTTAGTAATTTAGTAATGTATCAGAAATAGTATGTTATAATGACAGAATTAAAAAACCTACATTGAGGTGGATTGATGTGCAATTTTAATTAGCTTAACCAGAGTTTAATGACATACTCACACTATTTTATCTTTTATAAGGAGAATAATATTAATTAGCTTAATTAATTCTTTGGTTCCTTATTAAATTATTATTAATTTAAATACATTTAAACCATCTAACGCCTAAAGAAATTTATTCACAATGCCACCTATAACCAAAAATATAGTCGCCACTTTGGAACTTAATTCAGTGTGACTTTTTTAACATCATTGATCCATAACTTTATTGACTCACAACCCAAATCAATTACAACTTGTACTGTATAGTATAGGTACAAAATTATTTTGAACTTGTACTATAAAGTATATGTACAAGTTCGATTGAACTTTTATCATAATGTATATGGATTAGTGAAATTTTACCATTAAAATATATGTACAAGTTCTAAGAACTTCAGAGATTTTGAGTTGGATGCAAGAATTAACTGATGCCACTGTTTGCATTGCATGTGCCTAAAAATTTTGAGTGTAGGGGATGTAATTATGACGTGCAGGTTTCTGCGTGGAATGTTCATTGGTATTAACCTTCGTATTTGGATGGTGAAGAATTAGTTAGTTGGCTGCTCATGGTTTCGCTTGCTCTGGTGGGGCAGCAGACGTCAATATTGGAAAACCTATTCACCATTCCCACATTTCCCATATGGCAAGTATCATTATAAAATGGGTCCAACGCACTTATTATTATTATATAATGTACAACCCAACCTAAACCTACAGCTTGCCAACTTGGAGAAGAAAGAAAGAAACAAGGAAAGAAAGGCAGCCAAATTAGCAACCATGCAATTCTTGAAAGAGGAAGAGTGTTGCGCAGAGCAGCAGCTGCTGCCTCCCGTCAGCCCTAATGGTCTTTTCTTCAATAGCTCTGCCGTTTCACTGGTAATCCTTGCCGTTTTTGAGACTGAAGAACCCATCAGCCTCCCTTCTTCCCGAGTTGTTCACCTGCTTGACACCCGCCTCCTTCCTGTCCATCCTCGTTTTTCCTCCATCATCGTAAGTATTATTGTACCAACAATTCTCGAGTCACTTATTTTGAGGATGATGAAGTGATGATGGTTTATTCGATTTAATTTATTTATTTGATCCGACAACGAGACGACGAATGAACGATAGTTTGGCACCAAATGAATCGAGAATTTATTTTATTTTAAAATTAAGGTTTAATACACTTGTATATCCAAAACTTTCACGGTTGTGCCAATAATATCCAAATTTCTCGAAATACCACTTATAGCCATGTTTTAAAGTTGTTCTTTGCCAAATCTATCCATTTCCCAATATATTTTTGGTTAAATACACTTGTAGATCCAAAAACACCGTTAAAGAATGTGAAGGAATTGGATATAAGTGGTATTTCGGGATATTTGGATATTATTGGCACAACTGTGAAAGTTTTGGATATACAAGTGTATTTAACCTAAAATTAATTACCGTGTAGAATTCATTGTCGAATGAATTCCTTTGTTTGGTATGTCATATTCAAATCTTTAGAAATAGAATGAAGTGAATTCCCAAACTATGTTTGCATACGTTTAGAATTGAATTGAATTGAATTGAATTGAAAGTTTCCAACTACACCCTTATTAATTTCCGGTAGATACAATATTTATTGAAAATTCATCTTCTAAAAACGCCTTTAGTCACATACGTAGAATACCAAAAGTGTTCTTGGTTGTTTCTATTCTATTGATTGGTTCTTTTCTAATAGCTCATTGATGAGCCCTACACTCTAGTTGTACCTTGTCAACGTACTAATACAACCGTAGCATAAATATCAAATAATCAGCACATGCTACTAGCATTGCAATCAAATTTTTGTCAGCATTTCTCATACGGCATTGTATGGAGCCAAATAATATGGGTAGAAATAATTTAGTTAATAAATGAGAGTAATTATGTCATCCTATTATAATTAGTAAATACTTGTACATACCGTTTGGTATAAATGAATTTCATAAATTTTGAGGAATTCATTTTGAAATGAAACATTTTTGTGTTTAGTATTTAAAAGAATTCATTTATAATTCTAAATTTTGAATTCTATGGAATTGGAATTAGTTATAGCAATTCCGAGGAATTGAGATGGAATTTTCAAATGAATTCCACAAGTATTTACTAATTATAATAGAATGATATAATTATCTCCTTTTATGACATATCAAACACAAGAATTCATTTGAAAATGAATTCTACACGACAATTCATTCTATTTCTAAAGATTTGAATATAACATACCAAAACACAAGATTCATTTGACAATGAATTCTACATGCTAATTCATTTTACAATGAAATGAATTCTCGATTCATTTGGTACCAAACGGTCTGGTAGAATTCACTTGGAAATTCCATCTCAATTTCTCGGAATTGCTATAACTACCTCCAACACCGTAGAATTCAAAATTTAGAATTCGAAAAATAAATTATTTTCAATACCAAACACAAAAAGTTTTCATTTCAAAATGAATTCATCAAAATTTTATGGAATTCATTTATATATGTCAAACGGTATGTAAGTGTTTGTTGTTTCGGTAAATTTGTGTTTCTAACTTTCTATGAATTAATGATTTTATAAATTTGTGATGCTAGAAAATTATGTACATATTTTACTTTTGGCTAAGAGTCAGCTGAGTTATTAATCTTTTTACAATGAATTCTACACGACAAATGTCGACCTTAATCCTATCGTCTTATTAATTATTATCCCATTTTGATGAGTAGGTGACAGGGGAGGATGGAGTAAAACGATGGGAAAAGGTGGAAGTGAACGTGAAGGACCACATCAAGACTCCCGTTTTTCCGGAAGGGAAGTCGCCGGAATTCTACGACCGGTGTTTTCAAGATTACTTCCACAAAATCTCCGGGGAAAAGTTCCCGGAGGGGCGGCCGCTGTGGGAGTTCCATCTCGTGAAGTACCCGACTCTGAACGCGGCGGGAAACGTGATCTTCAAGATTCACCACGCCATCGGCGACGGATACTCACTGATGGCGGCAATGATTTCTTGCTTCACGCGATCCGACGATCATTCTCTGCCCCTGACCTTCCCAAAGAACCGAATCCGGCGGTCCTCAGCAGCACATGGCCGCGCTGCTTTCCTGTCCAGAGGGCTGACGTCGGCTATCAATACGGCGTCGGATATGTGGTTCAGCTTCTCGAAGACCAAGTTTTCGGAGGATGATCTGTCGCCGATACGGTCCGGAGATCCGGCGGTCGGGTCCCGCCCCGTCTCTGTGGTGACGATGACGTTCCCTCTTGATGACGTCAAGGAGATCAAGGGTCGCCTGGGAGTGGTACGTACGTACGTAATTAATTAATTAAGCAAATAGATCGAATTGTTGGAATTATGAAGGTTAATTCTGAATTTTACAAAAGGTGGCTACTTCGGTGCACTCACTTTTTTGGGTGCACTCAATGCACCCAACTCTAAAAGCGTCCATAATACATCAAATTTTGAACTTTAATTAGTACTCTCAATATAATATGATGATATGACATATAATCATAACAAATCAATTCATTACCCTAACCCCTTAACCTTCAATTTTGAATCCCAACCCAAAATCCCAAATTGTAAACCTAAACCCTAACCCTAAATCCCTAAATCCTAAATCCTTCAAATTAAAGTAAATTTTGAATGAATTTTTTTCAAATTCATGTGCTTCTTGTTCATAATATCATAAGCAACAATTAATACCGTTTTGACATGAATCGCATAATCAGAATGATAATTATGAGGCGGGTGCACTGAGTGCACCCGAAAAAGTGGGTGCACCGAATACGCCACCTTACAAAAAATATCAAATAAAGTAACGTAAATTAGTTAGAATTATTAAACCATAAGTACTAAAAATTTACCAAAAAAGTGAGGTTACTGTTCATTAAGAAATAGAAATAAATTAATCAAACAAATATAGAATATACCCAAGTAGGGATACACTGACCAGATTGGCTTGGTTGTATTCCAAACCAAAGGTATTTATTTAGTGGACAATGATATTTGCTATGGAGAGAGACGTACGTTGTAGGGCTTTTTGGAGTCCTCCCCTGTTTGTGGTTGCGCTTATTTATACTCTTTTGCCTAGGTTAGGAAGGGAATTTGGAGACAGTGACGGGTTGATTACCGTGGTTTCGTCATTTCAGTTTTTTTACTCGATTTGTAGTATAATGAATAACATTTGCTTTAATAATCTAAACATCTTGGTCTCAAAACCAAAGATTCTAATTTTTTCCGAGGATGAACAAAAAATTTCCAGAAATTTAATTATTCTCGAACACAAACATCAATATAAAAGAAGAATTTTTTTCGGTAATTAGTGGTTATCATTAAGCACAAATCCTTTGCCAACAAGCAAAAAGTCTTGAAAATACATAGGCTAAAAGCCCAAATCCCTCGAATAACAAATCAACTCAGAACAAAGGGGAAAACAGAAAAAGCATGCCTACAACAGTTGACAGTAAACCGGAATCTTCTTAGCTTCCTCATGAAAAGCAACATTCCCACTTCCATACAAACTAATCTCCCTACGTAACAATTCTACAAGAAACATCAGGGGCACAAGGCTTCTCGCCAAAACAGCGACGACATCTCTCCTTCCAAATGAAGCACAGGCACCAGCACCATATCGAGCAATCAACCAGACCAACTCCCACACTCCCTGCACAGCTTTCACAATCATACCATCCAACATGTTATTCCAAGTCAAAGGAAGAGTCGCTACCCTCTTAAGAAGAACAGTAACAAATTCCTTTGTATAAGCACATTCACAGAATAGGTGCTGTCGAGACTCAACAGCAGCTTGACAGAGCGGGCAGGTATCATCAGTTATCATCCCCCAGCCCCTTTAGCTTGTCACGAGTAGCAATCCTATCCAGAATGATTAACCAAGTGATGAACCGATTGCGTGGCAAAGTAAATTTGCCCCAAATAACCCTTCACCAGGACACCTCAGGCTTCTTAATACGAATAGTATCACAGATTAGCGATACAGAACACTTGTTCAGCTTTCTTCCCAACCAAGATACACTCCCATCAGTCTCAAGATTCATTCTGAAATGAAGCCAAGGTCTGATTTTGAGCAACTGGTTCCAGATCCATTATCCAGACGCTGTATTCTTGACATCCCAAATACAATTACCCCTTAGCCTATATCTAGTACACCATGCCATCCAGAAACTCCCCCCTTGAACCAGCAGAAGCCAAATCAGTCTAGCTAGACATGCTACATTCCATGAACTTAGGTCCTTTAAGCCAAGTCCCCCTTATAAAAGAAGAATTTTATAATGCTTTATAGCATCGTTGTTTTGGTTTGCAAAAAAAAAAAAAATAACTGTAGAAATTAAATATTTACATTTGAGTTATGATGTAAATTCAATTTACGGCTTATAAAAAAAATTCTCTATTCTGACTCTACCACAATTATTCAAAAAAAAAATGTTCCAAAATTCAATCAAATGATTTTGAGAAGTGGAATTCATATTTATCTATTTACTATTAGCTAGCTTGCACCTTCAAACCAAGGTTTAGGAAATCCTATCGTACTGGTCGGTCAGATCGGAAATACTGGATATCAGACCCAAAACGGTAGTGATTTTAGCGGTAGAAAACGATTCAATCATGGCTAAATCACGATTTTAGTAGAAAATACCTTGTCGTTCACTTTTCCGGTATAACCTCCTGTACGATTTCCTGACCCTTGCTTCAAACTTGATTAATCAACAAAAATATTAACAATTATTTATTGGTGGGGCAGACCGTAAATGATGTAATGACGGGGACCATATTCTTGGGGACTCGACTGTATATGCAAGAAATGGATCCAGGATCACAAGCTGCAGAAACCACAGCAATGGTATTGATGAATACGAGGATGCTTCAAAGCTACAATTCGATTCAGGAAATGGCAGAACCCAAGACAACTTTGGCCTGGGGAAACCACTTCGCCTTTCTCCATATCACCGTCCCCAAGCTGATCGGAATGTCAGACGGCGATGAATTGCGGTCGCGTCGTCGTGCTCTGGAATTTGTGAGGACGACCAGTGCTACCATTCAAAAGAAGAGATTTTCTCTAGCGATTTCTCTCACGGCCAAGCTCCTTGACCTTTACCGGAAACTCAAAGGACATGAGGTACGTACGTACGTACGTACAAGTACATTATATAATTGTGACCAATTCATATTGTATCATCATTTTCATGCTTCTACTTCGATTCTTTTGACCCATATAGGATGAGGAATTTTACAAAGCTTCAGATTATAGATGCTTTAGATTTTTGTCATTATTGTTCAAACTGAATTTATAATTTCAACGTTATGGTATACACAACATATAGCATACCTTAGGACTTTACATCTTCCATTCAGCCCAGGTTAAGTGAATTCAATTGCATGTTATTCACCACTACCTAACAGATTCTCAACTCTAAGATCAATATAACGACTTAAATTAAATTAAATTATTCTATTTTTTTTATTTTTATTAATGAACTTGTATCGTCTTTATTTTAATATGAATTATAATTTTTCTTTTAGCAATTAGCACAGTGAAAGATTTTTTTTTTATGAATGGTCAGGCTTTATTTCATCAAAATACAATCAGTTTCTGTACATTATGTTACAACATGTTACAAACAATTTTATGATGAATGTTGTTGTAATTGTTATATGCTTATTACAGATTCAAATTTCTAGCTTGCTCTGGCGATTTAGGGTTTTTTTTTTTACCATACATATAAAGTGTCTTTTATGGAACATAGACACAATTTTCTTGACTTCATGCTATGCTAACCAATGGACTGAGCAGGCAACAGCCAGTTACTTGTACAAGGCGTTAAAGAGCACAAGCATGGCAGTTACTAACATGGTTGGTCCTCTAGAGCAAATGGCTTTGGCCGATCAGCCTGTCAAAGGCATGTATTTTGTGGTCGCTGGAACTCTACACGTACGTACACATTTTTACAAATACATTGTTGAATGACTTGGAAATCCTCAAGCGGCCGTAAATAGAATAGCAAAATAAACTATTGTTGATCGGTCTAATGTTGCGCAGGATGTTTTCGTCACCATAGTAAGCTATATGGGACAGCTGAGGGTATCCGTTGTAGCGGAGAAAGGCTTCATAGACCACGACAAGCTCAAGTCTTGCATTCAAATGGCATTCCACCACATTTATGAATCCTCGTGCCATTAGAATTCTCGCCTAGGATGGCAAGAAAAATGATAGATTTATAAAAACTTGTTACACAAATTTCTTCTATGTGTGATTGTAACGGAAGCGGTTAAGGCGTGGTAACTAGACCCTTGTAGCCACCGTGACTACTAAGAGTAGGAATGATATATTTTGGTGTTTATTGTTTTGGTAGTGGTGCATATGTTTTATTAGTAGTGTTGACATTGTGATAATGGTTATATTATATGTTTGGATGGATTGGTAAATATTATACTTACATTTATGTTAACTACATTGAATTACTTACAGTGGAGAAATAAATTTTTTATTAAAACTGAACTCTTAGCTCTATATCTCTCCCTCTATCTGATTTTTCCTCTTTGCCTTCCCCTGATCCTTTCAAATCCTTGTGCTTCGTCGATTCTAACCATTTGTACTTTCTCAGACTACGTAGCAAAAAATTAATACCAATCCTAGAAAAATCAATACCAATGCAAAAAATTCATACCAACCTAGACAAAATCAATACCAATCCAAGAAAGATCAATACCGATACGAAAATTCCATACTAGCCTAGACAATCAATACCAATATAACATTGAGGCAATACCAAAACGAAAAAAAACTTAGATCTAAGTTTTTATGTTCTCTGTGGAGGAGATTTAGCCAATACCAAATCATTAAAACACTAACAAATACCTAAATAAAAATCAATACCAAATTAAAATAAAATAAAATCAATACCAAAATAAAAACCAAACGATTACAAAGCAATACCCTAAAAGGGAATACGTGAAGAAGGATTTATGTTGCAACGACAACGTAGTGAATGACAAGGAGTTGTGGAAGGTTATTCAGCTCTAGGGTAATACGATCCTAGGGGGTGTATGTTTATCAAAGTTACACTGAAAACCACCAATCAAAGGATTGGATTGATCTCGAACCAAAAACAAAGAGTTCTTGGTTGTTTCGGATAAAATGGAATCAAACGTGCAATTCCACACCCGGGGAAAGGCTCGATTGATATAAGGATAGATGCCCGACCATGAATGAAGTGACTATTCAATCGATACAATTAGGGGTGGCTATACGGTCCGGTCCGGTTAAATTGGCCCAAATTGATCCGGTCCAGTCCGGTCTTTTTGAAAATATAAGGACCGAAGATTGGATTGGATACAGTCCAGTCTTGATCCGGTCCGGTTTTGATCCGGTCCGGTCCCAATTCGGTCTTGATTTTACATTGATATTGTGGGATTTGAGTGGCCTAAGGCCTTAAAGGGTGAGGAGTTGGTTAAGTTTTGTACTAAGTGCAAAGGTTTGTGACCGTTTATGCAAATTACCCTTAAGTTTTGGGTGTTGAGTTCTCTTATCCGGTCTTTATCCGGTTTTTTACCTCAAATCTAAGCCCAAAGATTGGATTGGATTGTTTACTATCCGGTCCCGGTCCGGTCTCGGTCCGGGTTATACGGTCCGGTTTCCGGTTTTTAATCCGGTCCCGGTCCAAATAGCCACCCCTAGATACAATAGCTAACGAGCTTGGAATCCACCAAAGCTCAACACAAGTACGCAAACTTGCAACTAGCAAACAGTACTAGGTTTTCAATTCATCAAAATCTCTCCTATTACAACGAAAATAGAAGGCTATTTATAGCCAAAGAAATTCTAATACAAACCTAATTGAACAAGAATACAATTAAGGTAAAAATCTACTCTAAAAAGGTTACGAAATTCGGCCTCAACTCTCTTTCTTCAAGCACAAGTAAACTGCCAGAAAAATAACCTTCGTAGCAACTTCGAGCCTTTTGTTCGAAGTCTTCTAGATATTCAATATTTCACCCAATGCCTTGCCTTTGTAGACAAACACATCTACTTTCATGTTCTTGAAGCCTCTGGACTCGAATCTCATTCATACTTCTCGACTTGATCTCCAAAGTAAGCTTCACAAACACGTTTCTAGACTTAACCATTTTTTACAGTTATCCTGTTTTGAGGTAGCAACTTTGAGACTTTGGAAAATAGCCTTAATGACTTTTTCTTGGTCCAAAAACCATGCCAACTTTTAGAGGGGAACTTTATCTTCATAACCTCGAGCCAATTGTACGATATGAATCTCCAAAGTAAGAACCATGAAACTGTTTTGATACTTAGCCAAATTCTACCTTTTTTCTTGACACTTGAGATTGCTTCTTTGTCAAGCAATTCCAGCTTTTAGAGCGGCCAAATTTGGCTTGTATCATAGGGCGAGCAGAACAAGAACTTCCAGACCTTCCTTTTTCATCCAACCTCGCCACCAAGGACCATATCCATGGTTTCTAGGCCACGCTGCTGCTTACTGCTTTCGCGTCGCTATAGTTGGTTTGTGATAGTTGAATAACAACCTTGTGCTTGATCGCGTTTCTTTGTTCCGCTTTTTGGTTTGTTTGGTGTTCTCGAACAAGAACCTGTGCGACGACACTGTAGGGAGCGAGAGGGTCTAGGCCTTCTTTTGTTTCCTGCGATGGAAACTGACTCGCCACGAACTACACCGCGAACTAAAATCCCGACTAGAGCCCAAGTATAAACTCCAACTGGATTCAGTATAGGGCACGTATGTTTTAATTGTCAAACTCGGGCCAGTCCATGTACCACTACTTCAATCACATAAGTTGTTATCTAGCAAATGGTTTTGGGGTTCTAAAACTAAGAAAACTATAAAATAAACAAACAAGTAAAGTAAATCGAGGTTGTCCCAATAAGAGAAGAATTCACCTGGGTATTGCTCCCCCTAGCTACATATCAAGATCGACCGAATAGAATGCAATTATGTGAAGGTGTGTTCATACACCGTTAGGAGGGTGCAACAAGTGAAGGAACTTCACTATCTCGGTTGAAATGCCAAGGAATGACGAATGAAGCTAGGTAACTAGCTCTCTTGGCCGAACTTAATCCGGATGGCAAAATAACAACCAGTGAGGGTGCTAACTCGAAGTTTGAGGTTTTCCCTAATTCGCCTTAGATAGGTGGCTCAATAATCCAAGGAATCCAACTTATCAAAGTCTCTTAGAAAGAAGGGGTTTTCCCTCTACCTAGGTCAAATTGGCATAGTAATGAAATATGAGGAACACAACTCAAATATTCTGAAAAATATCTCAAACTTTGCATTAAACACAAACTCACACACGTAGTATTCAATCCATACAATCTATCACATACAAAAAGCTGGGTTCACAATACCCAAGTGAAGAGGAACTCTACTTCATAGCTAGGCAAATGCAGGGACGGAGCCAGGATTTTTCTGTAGGAGGGGCCAACAAAAAAAATTTGCGACAAAAATATTACTTTCGAATTATATGCAAGATTTTTATACAAAAACTTCATATAATTATGTGCATTGTAAACATCATAATATATCACTTGCGAAGTATTTTATAATGCAACATATAATCTTTACGGTTTGCAAATGAAACTTCAGCTATATTATAACCATAAGAGCATAACAAAAACACGATAAAATTTCACTTAGAAATTATGTAAAATTCAATTTAAATGTGAAATAAACTGAAAATTGACATATCGAAATCACATGAAAAAGTGTGAAATTTGCGTAAACTAACAAAATGGACATAAACATAACACAGCTTCAACTTACACGAAATTCCCCTTTAAAATGTGAAATGGACATAGACATAGCATAGCTTCAAATTACAGAAATTCCCCTTTAAAATGTGAAATAAAAACCCATAAAGAATATGAAATAAATTGGATTGAAAAAGGAAGTATCAAATGTTCAAAATACATGGAAAATGGAGGAAATGTGGGAATCGAACTCTTGCCTTTCTATGTTTCAGAAAAAAATAACTCTCTTTTTCAACCATTAGAATACTTGGAGTTGTTGTATTCATTTGGCCTGGTTTATTTTTATCGTGATCTAAAATTTTAAGGGGGGCCATGGCCCCTCCTTCCTGTGAGCTGGCTCCGTATCTGGGCAAATGAATACAACAAAGAAGAGAGAAAGAACTATGGTGGATGCTTGTCTTCCCTCTTTGTTGATAAGAACTCCTTTGAGAGGTAAGAATCTTCACTCCTCTAGGTTGAAGTAAGCCCAAATCTTCTTCTTCTCTTCTTGTTGATCACTTTCTCTCTCTAGATTGTGAAGAAGAAGACCTTTCTCTCACTAGATTTTCCCCTTGGGGTTTCTTCAGCTGGAACCCTAGAAAGGAACCCACAAAATGTAAAACCAATCCAATCCAACCTCCCTTTCTCTCTCATCAGCCTTCTATCTATACAACCCGACATCCACTTTCACGGTTTGAACATCACGGTCGTGACTTTGGAGCTCAAACCGTGATGTCAGACAAAAATGCAGGTGTGTGGGGCAGTTTTGGTCCCACATCACAGTCACCTTGTAATATCACAATCAAGCTACCGTTATAATCTCTAGGCGTACGAGGTGCCCGAAATCTTCTGTTTACCGCGATCTTCATGCCTGTCATGCAATTGTCACGGTTGCCTTTAGACTTTTCCTCACTTTTTGGCGCTTTTCCACTCCAAATTGTCTCGAACTCGTCCTCGACCTTACCACACATGCTAGGACCTGAAATATGACAAAAGAAACACAATCTAGCGTAAAATAGGTCGAGGAACGATGAAATGCAAAGCCAATCTATCAAGAAATGAGGAATAAAATGTGTGCAAAGCAATCAAAATCGATATTTTACCTAAAATCGAAAACTGGGGTAAAATCGAAATCGTAAAATCGTAGGATTTAAGTACAATATAGAATATAACATAATAATATTAATAAGGTAAATCGTTAATAACACAAAGATACATAACATTTAAAATGATAATTCTCAAGATTTTTTTTGACAAAAGATAATTCTCAATATTAATGTTCCAAAGTAACTATTTTAATTGTTATTTAATGCGTAACTCAAAATAATTCATGAGGAAGGGATAGAGCTCAATGGGTTTGGCTCTTGTTTTCATATTGTGTCTAGGTAGTTTAACTCACAATAATATTCCGACATTGTCTAAGTATGATTTAAAAATTAAAATAATTGAACTCCAATAAAATAAGTAATACCAGTGGCTTGGTACAAATATACTTATTAATAAATTAATTAGTTAATAATGATGTTAATTTTTCTGTACTTCTAATATTAGGACAATTGTTTTTACCAACAAGTTAACTGGGTGAAGGGAAAGGGATTGAACGAGCCATAAATTGGTTATTTTTATTATTTTTAAATATTTTTTAATTGAAAAATATCTGATAAAATTCTCGTCATTGCCCTTTCCGCCGAAACAGTTATGCTTCTTTTAAATTGGCTCA